CGTCTTTTAATGATGGATATAAATATTTGCTGACCTGTATAGATATCCTTTCGAAATACGCTTGGGCTATCCCTCTCAAAGATAAAAACATCTGTGTCCATCCAATCCGCTTTCGAAAAGATATTTTCGGAACGTACACCCGAATCATTACAAACAGATGCAGGGAAAGAGTTTACCAATAAACAAGTTCAAAATTTTTTGAAAAAGAGAAACGTTCGCTTTTTCACGACACATAATACAACCAAAGCTTCTGTCGTAGAACGATTTAATCGAACTCTAAAAACAAAAATGTGGAAATACTTTACCGAAATGAATACACGAAAGTACATTGATGTGATAGATAAATTGATATCCAGTTATAACCATACATGGCATCGTAGTATTAAGACAGAATCTGTATCCGTTACATTACAAAATCAAGAAAAAGTTTGGAAAACGCTGTATGGTCAGCAACCAGTACAAAACCCTATTTCTTCAGATTTAAAGATTGGAGATACGGTACGCATCAGCCGAGAAAAAAATGCTCTTTGAGAAAGGATACGAACAAAACTGGACACGAGAAATTTTTACAATCTATAAAATTATTCGACGGATTCCTGTTGTCTATAAACTGAAAGATCTAGCAGGAGAAGTTATACAAGGAACTTTTTACAAACAAGAACTTCAAAAGGTTTCGGACTCTGGTTATTATCCCGTAGAAAAAGTTTTAAAAAAGAGGAAACGTCGCGGGAAAATAGAATATTTTGTGAAATTTCAGGGGTACCCCGAAAGCTTCAATGCTTGGGTGGATGATGTGAGAAGGGTATAAAAGGCCCGTACATTCTGCTTATCTGTCATTTGAACGAAACATGTCTTTCTTTATCACACTGATCAGCGACAGCTCCATGCGTTTTTTTCCAGACAACAAAATATCACAATTTACCACTCAGCTTCCTACTCCGATGGATTTAAATAGTCAGTGGGAGTTATCTCTTGTGGACTTTATTTACCCTCACACATGGTATAACGTCCGAAAAGACAATAATTTATTTGGATTTGATTTGGGTGATGGAAAATTGGAAGGTCGAAGAGTGCCTCCAGGATGTTATGAAACGATACCAGATTTATTAAAAGCCATGAAAATACCTTCCCATAAAAATAAGATTGAATTCAGTTATCATCCTGTCACGAAAAAAGTGACCATTAAGACCGACGAAAACTGCAAAGTCATTCTTCACGAAGGATTAGCTGAGCTTCTAGGGTTCGAGCCGGGTGTTTACAAAGGATTGGAACAAAGTCCTTTTGTAGCCGATCCCAAAGTATCTTTTCCTGTCATGTATGTGTATTGCGATCTCGTAGAGCCTCAAATTGTGGGAGATGTACAAGCCCCGTTGTTAAAAATTGTCACCGTAGAAGGAAATGACGGAGACATCATAAACGCTCATTACCCCCGGCCCTTTTACTTGCCAGTTATCCGTCAACATTTTCAGACTATACATATTGACATAAGACTTCACTCTGGAGATTTAGTACCATTCGAAAGAGGCAAAGTATTTCTTGTGTTGCATTTTCGTCTGAGACAAATTCTATAAAAGAAGCCTTCATCTGCAAATTGATTTCATTTGGATTGTGTATGCAAGATTAGAAGCATCAAACATGCGGGTGCCTTATACGTGTTGCACGAAAAAATTTGAAGATTATTATTTAGCTCAAACTGGAAATGGATTACCTTACTATCAAGGAACCATTTTACAGAAAGGTTATGGTATTGGTGGATTTTTTGCAAAGCTGTTTCGCAGTGCTATGCCGTTTTTTGATGAGTGGAGCCAAAACAGTTGGAAAAGAAGCTTTGCGGACTGGAACACAAATTGCAAACGACGTATTGTCGGGAGAAAATTTTAAAGTCTCCCTCAAAACCAGATCTAAAGAAGCTGGCAAAAAATTAGCGAGGAAAGCAGTTCAGAAAGCAGACGAGATGATTGGTCACGGAAGGTTTAAAAGGAAGCGCAAAAACCCCAAACACTTCATTTCGTCTAAAGCCAGGAAGGTGCAACGACGTGATATTTTTGACTCGTAATGGCTTTTCTGTTAAAAGATTCTCCGGAATGCGCAAAATCCGAATTGGATTTATTTTCGTTACCTCCCACACAAACAGTTATCGAAAAAGGTCAGTGGGTTGAATTTCATCCATTAGCCAATGTATCGGAAGGAAGTCCTGTCGAGTTCAATGTTTCTGGAAGCGGAGACGACTACCTAGACTTATCACAGACACAACTCTACGTCAAAGTGAAAATTTTAAAAAATGATGGCAAGCCAATCACGGCTGAAAGTAAAGTGGGACCTGTCAATCTCTTTTTACATTCTATGTTTTCTCAAGTGGATATTAGCTTAAATGAAAGACTCGTTTCCACCAGTAATAACACGTATCCTTACAGAGCCATGATAGAAAAATTACTGAATCATGGTTTTGATACGAAAACGTCTCAACTGTCATCAGAATTGTTTTTCAAAGATACAGCAGGACGTATGAATGTTTTTGATACTCAAGACACTCAGCCGAATGAAGGATTCAACCAACGAGCAGAATTGTTTAAACTGAGTGCCTTGGTCGATTGCACTTGGATATGTTTCATTAGAAAAGACTTTAGTTGACTATGGTGGATATGAAAATTAAACTCGTACACAGCAAACTTGAATTTTGGTTATTGGGTGAAGGTGAATTTTCATAATATTCATATTAAATAAAGGTCTCTATTTGAAGACCAAACAAACACTAATTATAAATGCTAAGATTTCAATTAAAAGATGCTCAGAACTAAAATCATCTATATTGAAAAAGTATTTTAGAAAAAAGCTCTGTAAATAGAAAAGAAATAATGCTTAATTTTAATAATACAATAAAATTTGATCTTAATTTTTTGTAATCCTTAACCGAATAAAATCGATTTCTAATGGAATCTCAGTAACTTTGTAAAGGTATTCAGAGTCCAGTCTTGAATAAGCTCATCAATTTTTGTCAGATTTCTTTGTGGATGCATAGGAGAGGCACACTCAAGCATTGAATTTTTGAGTGTAAGAGAGCTGGGAATATCTTTTTTTTTTAAAGCTAAATCGGAGATAACCTTGGCATTTTTTGTTTCTAGTTTTTAGATATAATGTGCATGAACGAGAGAACACCAAATAATCGGCCCTACATCATATGCTCAGAGGCATACATGAGTTGATCCTTTACGTAGCTAAAACTGTGGCATCTTGTGTATGTATCATCAGTGCTTTACCCGGACAAAAATTATGAATCTTGAAGAGAAAGATAACAAATTTTTCTGCTAATATACATGCTTTTTAATTCTACCAAGATCAGGAAGTGTAACAATATCAAATCTGGTCTTTCTCGTAAACTATTCCAACTTAACATTGATTTAGACCTCTCATGATTTTAATACATTTCTTTAAATTGATAAAAAGCAGAAAAAATATTAAGAGCTGTGTTTATTGCTTTTCAATTGTTTAGTTTGTTACTCAATAAAAAAGTTGAAAGAAGATTTTACTGAATGGCAACATGCTGGCAGGTGGAATATAAAAAGTATTTCCAACATAGTTTTTTAAATATGCAAGGAACATATATACAGATTCATCAACTGATTTCTTTTAAAAGTAGTAGAGAATGATATTTTGTGGCAACAATTTGAAAAATGACATTTATAGTAAACCAATGCAAAATCCCAACTTGAGACAGGATTTGCAGAGGGGGGTCACCAAAAATTTAGCAATTTTGATACTTCTTTAAAGTATTAAAATAATTTTATAATTACCAAATATTTTTACATAATATATCTGAAAATAAAGATAAGACAATACAGAAAAAGGAAAAACATTTTGATGCATTTTTTTAATAATAGAAATGTTTATTTTACTTTAAAAATTAAAGTCAATGACCTGCAATAGTATATTGCAGTACAAGTGAAGAAAGTGATAGTTTCACTCACATGACACGCGTGTCGGATTTCTGCAGTGTTTATGGGATCCCCAAAACAAAAAGTTTAAGAAACACTCATCTAAACAATGGAATGCCGAGATAAAATTTATACGTTAAACTAAATAACATATTTCTGAACTTTTTTTAAAAAAAATTGAAGATACCGCTATCAGGGAGATATATTCACTGTGCGAAACTCCCTAGTTTTCGGCTTATCCAATTTTTCCTCGTGCAACATACACAGAAATATTACTCCAAATTTCAAACTGATAGTAAAAATAAAACATTAATACTGAAAAACAGAATTATATTAACACATTTAAAAAAAAAAAGTCGACCAGTGGTTAACATTCTGCAATTTCTTTCTGGGGCAGGGCTGCAGGAGATTTATCATTTACCTTCTTCCTTAGCAGACATCCATATCAGCAATAACAGAATACTTAAGTGTGCTACAAAATGTTTTTATTTACTACTTAAAAATGAATTTAGAAACTTTTATGTATTTTGAAGTCACTGAAGAAAAAACATAGCCTTAAACCAGAACTCCATCTTTCAGAAAGGTGAGGGGGATATGATTATCTTTTGCACTGGAACCATTATCTCTACTAGATGCATCATTGAAGATTGACCTGATTTAGTATGTTTTCCACCATGAATTTTAATTAGTTTCAATCCTGTTAATTTTTAAAGTTTGCACTTAATGTATCAGATTTTTACCCTAAAACTTTTCCCATTATTTTATTCTATATTAGTACCTACCCTGGTAAAAAATAGAATAAATACAGACTTAAAAAATCCTCCAAAATTGAGAAGGATATCTTTTTACACTGCTCCCCAATCCATTACAAATTATGGAAAACTTTAATGGCCAAATTTTTTTATATTACATTAACATTTTTCTCTAGCATTATGCATAATGGAACTAATATTGCCATTCAAAACAAAAATGTAAAAGCTAATTTTCAAGCAATTAAGTTTTGAGCATTCAACTAATAACACATAGTAAATACTTCAGAGTATTTGATACACAATTAAAACAAGAGCCTTTATTTGAGAAGATAATTTTATTTAGACATCAAAAAGATTTATCTTTTTCCACCAACACGAGGAGCTTTAGTCTGAATAGGTTTTGCAGCTTTCTGTTTCTGAGCAACTTTCTGTACCTAAAAATAAATAATATATATGCTTAAAATATAGAAGCTTCTATAGCAAATTTTCTATAATTAAGAAATTTAACACTACTCAATCTATTACGATCAACAAGCTTCATCAGCTTCTGTTCCTAATGGATTAGAAAGTAAACTACACTACATTTGACGTATCATACAGCAAAATTGTCAATAGTTTTAATAAAAACCTGACCCCCTAGTTATTTAATTCATAAGATCTTCAAAATAAGCCTTTTCAAACTCAGTCCCCCCAAAAAACTACTTTATCACAATAAAAAAGAAATATACACATGTATACATGCAACAGAATTTTTTCTAGCACTTGATATTAAAAAAGAGCCAAGACTGAACACATGATAAAGAAAAATTTTTTGTCAGTGCAGTTTTTTTACGTATTTCCCAAACATGAAAATTTCAAAGCTTAACTATTTCATGCAAAATTAAATTAAATTTTATTTCAATACAGACGCACACCAATAAACTTGACCCCGCTTTTTTAGCAAACCTAAACAATTACTTACTAGTTACATAAAAAGGACAAAGGTTCCCAGCAGCTATGCATCCACCCCTCTAGCAGCAGAGTGGTAAAACTGTCTAATATTATTTCTATCCTGGGTTCAGGATGGCAGCATGGGCACTTTCCCCGTAAGTGTAACATGCATACGAGCCAATTTCCTTTAGAAAGCCTTCCTCCCCTTAAACAGATAGCCCAGGGCTTTGCCACAATCTATCAAACCCAAATGGAGCCTTCCATGGGGGCAACAGCAGCTCCTGAGGAAAATGGGGGGAGGGGGTAGTTAAGAGGGTTAATTATAGCATATCTACCTATTTAGAAAATTAATATTATAAAATCCCTATTGTTTTCATGTATACGCATTTTATCTAACAATCTAAAAGGTTGGTATAGTTCCGAAATGAATCATTTTTGTGTGTTTTGAAAATAATTCATATTTGTGAGAAAAAATGGGAGAAATCATTAGACATCATTTTTGTAATTATCTACAAATTTGTTGAAAAAGTTTATTACCTGGTATGTAATAATGTTGGCAAATAGAACATACATGCTTTCCTATAGATTCAGATGCTTAGTTTATGTGCTGCTATATTTATAGTGTGAGAAATGACTGCACCATTCCAAGTGTGTTGGATATCTAAAAAATATGGTGCAGAGATGTGGCACAAGACAAAATGACCAGACTTCTACAAGTTTCTCAGACAAGTCCGAACAATTCCTGCCCTCAGCAAAATATTGCATTCCTGCAGAAATCGAGATGTCTGAGGTCTCAAATGAACCTTGTACAGTCAAAAAGTTTTAAATTTATGTAGTTCCTGAATTAGTGACATAGCTAGGGTGGGGCAAGGAGATCATCTATGCTCGGGTGCAGCATCCATGGGATGCCAAATTGTGTTACAAATCTTTGAATGAAATGCTTTCCATTCTTGGAATACAGAAAGTGATGCAAAATCCCCAGGTGCTGAAAATTCTAGCTACGCCTTTGCCTTGAATGAATATTTGTATTATAACAAAAATTAAGAAAGACATGAGTCTTTTCTCAAGTTCAAAAATTTAGAAAAAATGAAATATTGAGAAAGAAATTAGGTGTTGTTACATCAGGACCACAATAACTCTTGTATTACATATTCAGAGTTCTCCAATGAAAATATAAGTTTTTGCAAAACCAGCTTTTGGTGACTTGTACCCAGGTATGGGCATGAACAGTGGCACTATCAATACAGTAATCTGCCCTTGGTGATAAAATCTTATCCTACTTGGATTTGACATTATTTGATGGTGGCTGAAATATATAGCAAAACATCAGATATTCAAATCATATGAAAGATTTTAAAGTGATTTAACATCACTATATATAGAAATTAACCTAAACAAAGACATAATTGTTTACTGAAATAAAATTTAAAAAGATAGAAGCTGATATGATCTTCCACACTAACTGTTCATACAGTCAACATAGCTTGAGTCGCCGAATTAGTATAATTTTTTGATACAATTTCTACTGATCAAGATATAGAAACAACTGCTCTTTCTACAGGAAATATAAAACAATTTTTATCAACAGTACACAGTTAAGCATTAAGCCAACCCTGCGATATAATTTTTAATATTTAGATACTTTTCCGTTTTGCCAGCGCAGGCGATTAAAGTCGCCAATAATGGTATAACTGATGCCTAACGGAATATACCCACTAGTGACCTTTTACGCATTATTTTCAAAACAAATCGCAGCCATTTCTTATCAGATTGATTATTCCTTTCAATACTGGCATACAATTACATAGAATTTCTATCAGATAGTTCATTTTATGCCATAAAGTCATCCGCGGTAATTAAGTCAATTAGGATGCAATCACACTGCTCACTCGAAAATATGAAGAAGGCAAAGTCAAGGATTAAATTCATCAATTCTAATGAGAATGCACTAGTGAAGTAAAGCACTGCGGTTTTACATAATTTCTGAGTAAGCTACTCGTACGAATTGAAATAATTCTTGCATTTACACTTGTATTCCAAATTAAGCTTTAAATTGAAATTAGTGTAGATAATTACCGAGAGAATTAGATTTTTGTAGCGTAGGTTACGGGAGATGAGATCACTTGGGGTCACGTGATATGAGCCGGCAAATCAGGATGTTAAAACATGAAAGCATAGTAAATTCTTAAATTATTGTCTTTTATGTTTTATAAAAATTTAAGAATACAACATTTCCGCAGAAATCTTAGCAAAACAAAGGGAAAAGTAAAAACCTGGAAGTTTTCTTATGACCTTGCCCTTTGATTCTTACAAAACATGCATTTCTTCTTAATTATATTTTGAAACAGACCCTTCCCAATATTAAATGTATAGATATAATGCAGATGAGTCCCTGTATAATCAAAAGTATAACAACATAAACATGAACTAACTAAATAATTAAAACATTCTACCTTTGGAGGTGCAGTGGTAGCTTTCTTCTGTGCTTTTGCAGCCCTTTGTTTTTCTTTGGCAGCTCTACAACAGTGAAAAAAATATATACATTTTTTTTAAAACAGGATTAAAAAAATCAGATTTCTACATACTTTTATCAATGGTTTTCTATTTTTACAATAAAATTAACATTTATTGTTCTGTGTTAAAAGCTTATGCAGTTTTTCATAAATTCATAATATATCATTTCAGCAGATAGAAAACTAATAACTCCTTATATTTTATAAGACGTTTGTCTTTACTAGCAAAGCAGTATAAATTTCTAAAAAATTCTATAACAAATGCACGTGAAGAAATATAAGAATTGATTAGCTGATGTGTCACTTGTAACAAATATTCTAACTTTCCATCAGTAACCAGTTTCGTGTCTGGGAAATGTCAGCAAAATTTACGTATATGATAAATAACAAATTTAGCTTTTGAAAAACCAGTAAATGTGTATACAAGTTATATTTTTTCTATTAACCTTCTACATGTTCAATTTTTTAATCAAAACTGCTTAAAAAATTGCACTTTTTAACTACATATTTCAAATCTAAGCATATTTTTATAATTAAGGTTTTTAAATACAGATTTACCACACAAGCTTTCATAAAAATCAAGAGCAATCATAAAGGCAAAAATTCTGAAACTATATCTTGCTTAAATTACAACTTGCTTTACAGAATATAAATGTGATGCATGTACACTACCAAATATATTCAATACTTACATAAATTGAATTAGAGTTACTATTTAACCATACTTTTTGTCATTTTACCCTGCTTCTCATGGAAAACAAAATGGGTGAAGTCTAAAGATTTGAATACATGGATTTCGCACATCTGATTCGGTTGCAAGATAAGGGCCAAAGGTGTGCGACAGAAAGGTACATGAATTTTGGCTTGATTTTTAATGTGTGTGAGTGTCCTGTGTGCAAAATAGTAGGCAATTAGATGAAAGAGGAGATACGACAGATCTGTATGAATGGCAGTCATAACAAAAACAATGTTAGCTTCGAAATTTGATTCTTCAGTTTTTTTTCCCACTCAGCTTGTTGTATTTTATTAAATTACCTAAGCCATTACTCAGTGCTCAGTACTTCTTTT